CGCCGTGTGGTGACGTCGCGTGAGTTGATAGCGCGAGTGTGTGAACCGTACGAGTGGTTGTGTGACAACGTGCGTCGTGTGAACGCGCGTGTGTGAAGGTCCGAGTGTGCTGTGATAGACGCGTGTGTGAAAGTGCCCCGCCGTGTGGTGATAGCGCGATTGTGTCGTTGAACGTCGAAGTGTGCTGAACGCTGCGTGTGTGAACGCGCTCGTGTGTTGGAACGTACGACGCTCGTAGGTTGAACGTGCGAGTGTGGTGAAGTGTGAGTTGTGTGAACGCTACGGACGTGTTTGAACGTACGAGTCCGTGACGTACGCGCGTGTGTGTGACGGTGGATTGTGTGATCGTGCGAGCCTGTGTGATCGTGGCGTCGTGTGTGGAACGTCCCGAGTGTGCTGAAACGTGTGAGTGTGTGAAGTACGAGCTTGTGAACGTGCCGCAGTTGAGTGAACGTCGAGTGTCGTGGTGTGTTTCGTGCGAGTGTGTGAACGTACGAGTGTGATGTGAACGTACGAGTGAAGTGAACGTGTGAGTGTGTGACGTCGAGTGCTCGTGGAACGCGCGGTGTGTGATAGCGCCGAGTTGTGTGAAGTACGAGTGTGTGAACGTCCGAGAGTGTGAACGTACGCAGTGTGTGAGTGGTCTTGTGATCGATCGGGGAGTGTGGTGAACGTACGAGTGATGTGAGCAGTTACGACGTGAATGAAGTGTGAGTGTCGTGAACGTCGAGCCCAGTGTGTGAACGTGCGAGTGTACCTGTGAACGCGGTGTGTGATAGCGCGCGTGTCGTGAACGTAACGACTGTAGTTCGCTGAACGTCAGTAGCCCGTGTTTCGTGAACGCGCGTGTCCGTGAACGTGCGATGTGTGTGAACTTGGTTGGTTGTGTAGATAGCGCGAGTGTGTGATAGGCGGTGTGTGAACGATGCGTGAATTGTGATAGCGCGAGGGTGTGACGTACGAGTGTTGTACGTGTGTGGCTGAACGCACGCCGGGTGTGAACGGTACGGAGTTCGTGATAGCGCGTGTGTGAACGTAGGTGCTGTGATCATGCGCGAGTGTGTCGAACGTACGGAGTGTGTGAACAGTGCGTGTGTGAAACGCGCTGTGTGATGTGAACGTACGAGTGCATGTGATAGCGCCTTGTGTCGCTGAACGTTGCGTGTGTGATAGCGGCGAGTGTTCGTTGAAGGTACGAGTGTGTGGAACGTGCGTGTCAGTGAACGCGCAGCTGTGTGAACGTACGATTTGCTGAACGTTCGCGACGTAGTGTGAACGTACGAGTGTGAACGTACGAGTGTGAACGTACGAGTGAATGAACGTACGAGTGTGAACGTGCGGTTGTGTGAAGGTACGAGTGTGATCGTACGAGTGTATAGGATCGTTCCTTGTATGAATGTGCGAGTGTGTGAATGTGCGAGTGTGTGAACGTGCGAGTGTGTGTGAACGTGCAAGTGTGCGATCGTGCGTGTGCGATTATGTGAACGTGATCTTACGCACGTACTTTACTACGCGTGACAGGGAATCAGAACAACACGTTGAGATCGTACATACTGCCACACATAAATTTCGAGGTTGCATACTGAGATGTGATGCGATACCTGGCAACGGTCCCGTTCACCGAAGACTTTCACGCCCTCGCGTGTGTTTGCATAGTCTCTGACCTTCTTCTATTCAGGACCCTCGCCATTTGAACACGCACCGACACTATAATTGTTGTCATACCGTTTTCCGTGCCCTCTTTCGCGGCTTAAGTTCTTCTTCTTCTTCTTCTTCTTCTTCTTTTTCTTCTTCTTGAAATATCATGTAGTTATTCCAATGCAATAACTCTATATAAAATATAGGCCGAACTAAACAGCCGAATTGTTGCCGGAGTGACCAAAACAAACACTTCCCGCAGTCGCAACGTATAAAAACAACGCCGTGGCGCCGACGTCTATATATTTCTCGATTTATGAGCAGCTATATAGACTTATGGACTGATAGATTTTACGGCGCCATTAATGCTTTATTATTCAGTGTCTCTCGCTGTCTACACGTCAAGCGCCGCGAAATCTTTAGATCTTTTCCGAATAAACACACTGGCGGCACAGATGTGACGCGGTGACCGCCATGTTGTCATCTCTGCAATCTGCTTATATAACTATTTTTCTATATACTACTATATATTATACTATATTATATATATAGAATTAGACTAGAATATATATATATAAATTAGATTTAAGATAGTAATATATTACACGCGCGCGCGCACACCACTGCGCAAACGTGACGGAATGACCACAATGCATGCGCAACGCCACTCTCATTACACTAAATCACACACCACACACACACACACACACTACACACACACACACACACTACCACACACACACACACACACGCACGCACGCAGCACGCACGCACGCACGGACGCACGCACTCACGCACGCACGCGCACGCTACGCACGCACACACGGCCGCACGCACACACACACACACACACACACGCTATTATTATATATTTATATTATATATATTATATATACATTGTCATAATATAAGCCTGGATGTCTGAACTTCTTATAAACAACCCGGCCAATCACAGCACCTATCACCACAAGGGCCTACCCGACCTGCATGGCTTTAGGCTAACAAAAGTTTCATTTGCCACGACAGAATTTGAACAAACACGGAAAAACAGCATTAGTCAATCAGCTAACAGATTTCGCCAACCGCCGGTCACGCTCTTTCCATTGTGACACTTCGTATATGCATCATACTGTCATTTGACTATATCAGTGACTGAGTAGGATATGCGTTTACGCCATTGACATAATATCCTTTCCTTCCGCGCAAATACTGTCTAGGTATGTCATAATAATAGAGTATTTACAGAAACAATAGGTCACTTGCCAGGAATGTTTACCTTAGTTCTGCAGCATTACGTGCGGTAAAGATACGTTACGACTAACACACTAATCTATAGACTAGACACTGTACACATGTAGTGCGATCAATAGTCAATGCATCACTTAAAGTGATTACGTCACGAATTTCTAGCACCATCAAGTAGTATATTTGTGTGTTATTTGTATAAAATAAAATGTATGAAAATACAATTAGTGTTTCTGTTTACTTTTCGTGCTTATATACCTTCTTTACATGCCCTAATTTGCCGGTGAAAAACAGAGAGACTCCAGTATCTGAACGGTACTGGGGGAATAGTGTTAGACAACAGAAATTACCAAATCGTCTAGATTTTTGCAAATTTAACTAACGTAAAAACATTTTTATTAGGTGAGAGTTTGAGAATATATTTAGTAACGTTAGTACTTTTAATGTAAAAAAAAATGGCCATTTTTTTTTACAAATTTTACCATGGAAAATTCGTGACGTAGTCAATTTAATCAACGCAAAAGACTTGTTGCATTAAAAATACTGCATGTCTATTAATTGGTTGTACAACTGCTGCATATACTGCAGTAGTATATCATGTTATACTGAATTTTGTTAGCCTTATTTATGTTATGTTATGTGTTGTTTTGTATTATGTTGTGCGTCGTCTATCTAGAAATGTTGTGGTAAATATAGTTATATTCGTTGATTACACAATTATTGTGTTCATTGCAGCAGTATTTCTTCTTTACTGCTTTCTTTTCAAACATGTGCATATCATATTTTGGTCGCGAAAAGAACCCAGGCAACTTCCGGTACCACACCTACATGTATTTACATACCTTTAGGATTTCTCTCATTATTTCGTTTCGTTTCGTCAGTTTTAGACAGGGTTTATATAAGACGTTAAAATGATGGAAATGGAAACGTTTACAGGGCTCTTGCTCAGAGTCGATTCGCCTTGTTTGACAGATAAACAACAAGTCACGTCGCCTCCAAATCCGTGCGTGTACCTGCGTGCAGGCGTGTTTGTAGACGGGCATGCGTGCATGCGTGCGTGCGTGCGTCCGTGCGTGCCTACGGGCGTACGTTACTGCGTATGTGCGCTTGTTTTGACCACTGTGCGTAGTCCACGATAGTTAACAATATCGAGCTAGCGTGGCGGCGCGTGCCGTACTGTGCTAATGCGCCAGGCAGGCAACGAGACCGCATATTAAATCCTCCGTGGCCCACATACACACGGCGTATACATCGCATCACGACATCTAACGCGCCTGAAACGCGTGAGTCACGTAACAAGCCGTAATTATCTCTTCACGGTTGCACGTCGTCGTCATCATCATTGTTATCATCATCATTATTATCATCATCGTCGTCGTCGAGGGAAAATTGGAGTCGCGGTTAGCGTTGACACGGACTGTATATTCGAATACAAGACAGACCGTGCGAAGGTTTTACATGGTATGGCTTCTTTTTAACAGCAGCCACCATCCTAAAACTAACTGCTAGTACGCCTTACGTAGTTACCTTATGTAATCGTCAGAATATTTACTGGGCGTTAGGACATGTTCGCAAGTTACGAGGATGTACACATGGGTATGATATAGTTGCCTCATATAACGCTGATATAAATTGAATTGAACCATGAGGACTTTCTCATGATTTCCTTAAAGGTTTAGGATTTTTGTATATGACGCCACGTATAATCAATTTTCTATCGCTAGAGAGATCACGAATGCTCTTAGCGGATTATCTATACATTTTTAATTTATGCATTTATGCACTGATACATTATACCTCTCTGGATCTCTACATCTCTCCAGTTGTATATATCAATACATCTGCACATCGTGCTCTGTATATATATATATATATATATATATATATATATATATATATGTATATATATCAAGAGTCCATAATAGAAAATAATAGATTTTAGATACTAGATAATAGATTTTCTATTATTGACTCCTAATATATATGTATCTGAACGGAAGCGTATGCGTACGTGTGTGCTTGCGTGCTCATGCGTGCGTGTGCGTGCCTGCGTGCGTGCGTGCGCGAGTGCTTGCGTACGTGCATGGCTGCGTGCGTGCGTGCGCGCCGTCACTTACGTCTCTTCGCAGTCGCAGTGGCTGAGCGTCGTGAAGCGAGCGTTGAAGAGGCCGTACTGCCACGAGTAAGCGCCGACAGTGATGCTGCACTGGTCGTGCGCGCGACAGCAGCTGTCGGTCGCGGCCTCGTCGCCCAGGTCGTCGATGTCGTTGGCGGAGTTTCCGGCGCCGCACCACTTGGTTCCGGGAACCAGCACGGCGCGTCGACGTCGCGCGTGGGTCGCCCGCTTCCTGTCGTCGTTGTCGCCGCGCTTCCGTTTCCGGCCTTCCTTTTTCAGCTGCCTCCTCAGCGTCCGGTGGAGGTGGTTGCACTCGCGGCGCATGCGACGCATGTCCGTCGTCGCGCGCACGTCGGCGGTCGTCGTCGGCACGGCGACGTCGGTCGCGTTGTCGTCGTCGCGATAGAAGTCTCGGACGAATCGCTCGACGTCGGCGGCGTCGACCGACATGTCGCAGTCCGCCAGGTGGCCTCCGTGCGCGTGTATCGTACGCAGTACCTTGCTGCCGTCGCTGACTTCGCGCAGCTCGAGCGCTCGCTCGCTGCTGCCGTTAGAGGTCGCCGCCGTCGCCCACGTCCGCTTCGCGAGCAGGCCGTTGTAGTAGATGCGCAGTTCGTGTTCGCCCGTCGCCGTCCGCCGCAGCTTGGCGAAGTCGCTGTGCTTGCCCGCCGTCGGACCGACGCTTGCCAACACAGCCAGCGCGAGAAGGGCGAAACACGCCACGGTCGTCGTTGTCGTCGTCGGCTTCATCGTCGTCGTTAGTTGGTGGCAGCACCGTAGTTGAGCTCGTACACTGTGACGTCACGACGACATCGTGGGCGGTGCGGTCGTCGTCGTCGCCGCGTCGGTTGGGAACGATGCAGACGTGCTCGCAGGGACGCCGCGCGCGTATATATACCTCCACGCGAAAAACCTCCCCCCCCTCCCTACAACTGCCCCCGACGCGGCGACGCGGAACCGCTGACGTCACGAGCGTGACTTATGCGCTCGATGTATGAGGGGTGGCGGAGCGGCGTGTGGCGTCGGTGGCATCGCCGTTGCGGTTATATTTACGCGTCTGCTGAAAAAGCGCGGGAATGGGCGAGGTAAAAACATGTCAGTCAGAGCACGACGGGTGCTGGTGGCGATGAGTGGTGGTGGCCCGCAGCTATTCGCAGCAGCATGGTGCAGCAGCAGCAGCGTTAGTAATTAACGAAAGTAGCGCTAATTACATTAGCATACCACGTGCTGTGTGCGTAGTGCGTCCGTGCGTGTGTGCGGTGCGTGCCCTGTTGTGTGTGCGTTGTGTGTGTGTGTGTGTCGTGCGCGCGTGTTATGTATGTGGCTGTTGCGCGCGCGTCCACCGACGTTTGTGTATGCTGCTGGTGTGCGCCTGCGCCGTGGCCTGAAGTCGATGTGTGTGTGTGTGTGGGTGTCTGTGTGTTGTGTGTGTGTGCGCGTGTGTGTGTATCGCGTGATGTGTGCGCGCGTCGCGCGCGCGACGCAACGAATCTTTTGTGTATGCGTTGCGTGCGTGTGCGATGTGTGCGCGCTGCGTGTGTGTGCAACTGTGTGTGGTGTGTGGTGTGTGTGTGTGTGGTGTGATGCGTGTGTGTGTGTGTGTGTATTTGTGTGTGTGCGCGCGCGCGGACTGTTTTTTTTATGATAGCTGTTGAAGCACACGCTATTTCAGCTGCTAATGAAGCGGAGGTAAATATAGGCAGTAGTTTAAATTTGTAGCCCACAAGAAACTTTACACTTGCGTTCCGGTATATTAGGATGCTGTTTATGATTGAAGAGATAATAGTGGCGTGCCCGTTTCCCGTTACTACTGATTGCGTCGTCTTAATCTGCATACATTACATACAAATATGTTATATATATATTTAATATAATATAATTATATATATATAAATGTTATTGTGTCGCCTGACGAAGAGACATATTGTTCTCGAAGCTCGCGTAATAAAAATTTTGCATCTAATTTATATTTTAAATTTATCTTATCTTCTTTTATGGCGTGTCCGTGTATTTTTACTTATTATATATATATATCTGTATATATATTTTTGTTTTATATTAAACGGCTCCATTCTAATGTCAGTTTAACGCCTAATGAAGAGATATGCTTCTCGAAAGCTCGCATATTAAAATTTAACACCCTTTTCCTATTTTTTACATTTGTTTATTTTTAATTCGCTTATAATAATATTATATATATATATATATATATATACATTTAATACATATTTGTGAATGTATGTCTGTTTGTTTCTCTGTTCCCAATGCAAATCAATATGAATCACTTTAGAAATGACAGTTAGTATGATCTGTTTAAGCTCTACAAATCTGCGCTACGTGAAAAAATATCCCATCTTTATTTCGTGTACATATTCATTTTATTTTATTTTATTTTATTTCTCGTACACATATATTTAGTTATGTCTTTATGTTATATTCTTATTATATTACTCGGTATCTAGACAAAAAATGTTTTTAAGGTAAGTTCAAAGTCAAATTGTGTATTGTCACTCCAGCTTTAGGCTGCTGCTGCTCTGCTGCATTGCTGCTGAGCTGCCTGCTGCTGTTACTACTACTACTGCCCTGCCTGCTGCTACTGCCTTACTTGCTACTGCTGCCTTGCTGCTGCCCTGCCTACTGCTGCTGCTGCTGCTAACTACTACTGCTACTGCCCTACTGCTGCTGCTGCTGCTTGGGGGCCTGCTGCTGCTACTATGCTACTTTCTGCTGCTGCTGCTGCTGCTGCTGTACTGCTGCCTGCTGCCTGCTACTACTACTACTGTACTTGCTGTGCTGCTGCTGCTGCTGCTACTACTGCTGCTTGTGCTTCTGCCTGCTGGCTGCTGTGCTGTCTGCTGGCTGCTGCTTGCGGCTACTTGCTTACTGCCTGACTGCTTATGCCTACTCGCTCTACTGCCTACTGCTACTGCCTACTGCTACTGCTACTGCTTACTGCTACTGCTACTGCTACTGTACTGCTACTGCTACTGCCTACTGCCTACTGCCTACTGCCTACTGCTACTGTACTGCTACTGCTTACTGCCCTACTGCTACTGCCTACTACTACTACTACTACTACTTACTACTACTACTGCTGCTGCTGACTGCCTGCTGCTGTTGCCTTGCTGCGCTACCCCCACTACTACTGCTGCTGCTACCGGCTTGCTGCTGCTGCCTGCTGCTGCTTGCTGCTGACTGCTGCCTACTACTACTACTGCTCGCTACTGCTGCTACTACTGCCTGCTGCCACTGATGCCCTACTACTGCTAGCCTGCTACTGCTACTGCCTACTGCTATTGCTACTGCTACTCCCTACTACGACTACTACTCTGTGCTGCTGCTTGCTATGCTGCCTGCTGCTGCTGCTACTGCTACTGCTTGACTCAGTGACGCGATGCAGCAGTACATGTGAAAACACACGATGTTGGCAATCTGACAATGAGGTAGACTGGTCACATCGCCTTTACAATGTGGCGTGACAACCGACAGCTCGTTCTAGCACGAGCGAATTCGAATTTATTCGCTCGCTCAAAACGGATTGAACTTGGCGTACATGTAGACTAAAGAACCACACAGGTGCGTTTGCCGCCTAGCCCAATTTAAGTGTGTTATACACCACCCACAATTATCTCATTGTTACGCTCACATTAACAGGTTTAGAACGAATTAGATACCCGACGCGCCCGCGGCCCATTGTCTGAGAGATCGCGACACTACTGTCTGAAGCCTATCAAGGCGGATCTTGGTTTTCGTAAAACAGTTTTGCAGAAAATCATTTTTACCCGCGAACAAAATTAATTCCGACAGCTTATTTTGCGTATCACATTCGTCAGCGCCATATCGCATCGTATCAGCGGCCATCGAGAGCCTTCTAATAGCACGCGTCTATTGATGAAAGCACGGCTAGATGACTCACAAAGTCCGGAATATATCAGAGGCTTTCATTAATCCCTTCCGGCGTATGGAATGCCGTCTGTCACGTTGATGGTGCGGATCGTGAGAGATGCGTGCGTACGTGGGGAAGCTAACGTACGGGTTCTCCGTGCTGCGCCCGCCCTTTCTCTGCACTGATGTTATGACGTGTGCGGACTCCTACAGACACACACACACACGCACGCACGCACGCACGCACAGCACGCACGCACACACACACCACACACCAACACACACACACACACTTACCTGCAAACGCACACGCACACGCACACGCACACGCGACGATTTCGCCACACGTGCTACACGCACACTTTACCCGCTCACGCACGCTGCGCGCACACACACACACACATACTTTACACACACACACACACACACTTACACACACACACACACACACACACACACAACACATCACCACACACACACACGCCGAACGCACGCACGCACGCACGCACGCACGCACAACACACGCCACACACACACGCGCACACACAGTGGACAAACAAACAACAAAACAAACAACAACCACACAACACACACACATGAACACACGCACACAACACACAAAACAAACAAACACACACACACACACACACTACACACACCACATATACACACACACCACACACACACACACACACACACACAAACATACAAACAAACAAACAAACAAACACGCGCGCACACACGCACGCACACCACCTCTCTCCGTCTTCCTCCTCTCTTCCGATACTAGTTATCCCCTGCATTTCTCGAATCTCCTACGCCTCTTGAGCCTCTACACTACACTACTCCCACTTTCATCTCTTTCTCTATTACGCTACACTATTTAACCTTCTCCCACTCTCTCCTCATGCTACCCTAACTTTTCACTCCCTCCTCCTGCCTGCATGCTACCCTAACTTTTCACTCCCTCCTGCAGCTACGCTAACTTTTCACTCCTTCCTGCAGCTACGCTAACTTTTCACTCCCTCCTATGGCTACCCTAACTTTTTCACTCCCTCCTCCTAGCTACCTAACCTTTCACTTCCCTTCCTGCCTGTACCTAACTTTTCACTCCCTCCTCCAACCTACGCTAAACTTTCACTACTCCTGCAGTACCCTAACTTTTTTACTCCTCCTCTTGCTACCCAACTTTTCACTGCCCCCTCTCCTGCATTGCCGCTCTAACTTTTCACTCCCTCCTGCAGCCTACTCTACTTTTCACTCCCTCCTCATCTACGCTAACTTTTCACTCTTCTTGCAGGCTACCCTAAACTTTCACTCCTCCTTGACAGCTACCTAACTTTATCACTCCCTCCTCCACCTACGCCTCCCCTAAATTTTCACTACCTCCTGCAGCTACCCTAACTTTTTACTCCCTCCTCTTGCCCTACCCTAACTTTTCACTCCCTCCTCCTGGCATGCTACTCAATTTTCACTCTCTCGTGCATGCTACCCTAATTTTCACTCTCCCTCCTCCTGATGCTACGCTAACTTTGGCGCTCCCTTCCTGCATGCTACGCCTAACTTTTACACTCCTTCCTCCTGCATGCTACTCTAACTTTTTCAGCTCCCTCCTCCTCCAGCTACCCTAACTTTTTCACTCCTCGTGCAGCTACCCTAAGCTTTTTCACTCCCTCCTACTGGCACCCTAACTTTTTCACTCCTCTCCAGCTACCTAACCTTTCACTCGCCTCCTGCTGCCTACCCTAACTTTTCATCCCGCCTCACTACAGCTTAGAACTTTTCACGCCCTCCTGATGCGCTACCCTATACTTTCAACTCCCCTCCCTATTCTACGCTAACTTTTCACTCCCTCCTATGGCTACCCTAGCTAGCACCCCCATCTCTGTCCGGTTATGCTAGTTGTCGATAGATCGCTTACAAATAAACATACATGAGTGATTTCTATGCTACAGCCAGTGTATTATATCCTCCCCCCCCAAACTGCAAGCAGGTAATAATATAACTTTAGGACTATCGCCTTCGTTTCGACTGCCACAGAACGCTATAGTACTGACAATGAGGGCTATAGTACTAGAGCTAGTAGTTAGCCGGATATTTCTACATGAGTAAAGGGGGAAGTAATTAATACCATATGCTACAGCGTTGCTTTAACGAACAGTCGCAGTTTAGCTTGTACGACAGAGGTGCCCACGTGATGCCGAGCTTCCCGCGCTCGTCCGGCATCGTGCTGCCCTCTGGTGGCGCTATCGTGAACCTCTGCAGCACGCAGGCGATGTAGAGGAAAACCTCGGCGCGCGCCAGGAGTTCTCCCAGGCAGATGCGCGTACCGGAAGAGAACAGGATAAGCGCTTCCCGGTTCGTCATCACCTTCCCGTCGGCGTCGAGGAAGCGCTCGGGACGAAACTCGTCCGGTTTGTCCCAGTATCTCGGATCGTGACTGACCGCCCACAGGTTCGGTATAAGGACGGCGTGTTTGGGGATGTCGTAGCCGGCGAGGGTCGTGTCCTGCGTGGTCGCTCGCAGCACACCTAGCGGCACGACGGTGCTGCAGCGTAGAATCTCCAGTACGGTCGCGTGCGTGTAGGGCAGGTCGGGCTTGTCCTTGGTTGTCGGGAGGCGCCCTCTACCGACCACATCATCCAGCTCTGCTTGTATCTGCAGAGAGAGTGAGAGAGAGAGAGAATGAGAGAGAGAGAGAGAGAGAGAGAGAGAATGAGAGAGAGAATGAGAGAGAGAGAAAGAGAGAGAGAGAGAGAATGAAATAGAGCGAGAAGGGGGGGGAAGAGAATAAATGAAAGAAAGAAACGAGATTCGTCACTATGGGGGCACATACTCCCGTCTCTGTTCGGTTCTGCTAACTATTGTTTTGAATCGTCACGAACCCGAAACACGGTTGTGATGCAGATTTCCAAAGCCGGATAGCGATGACTACTGCTATACATAAAGGCGACTTCATTTATTCATTCCTTTTTTTCCTTCATTCCCCAAACTGCAACGAAGTATTTTTCTTTTGGATTCTGCATTACAACAACGATTCAAGTACGATTTGCCAAAAATCCATTTTTATACACAAAAGGCAAATATTAATGCCACTAAATATATTATCACACTATGCGGATAGGACGTCGCGTCGAGACTACTGTTTATTCAGAAGGTTCAACATTGATTTAGCTGTTTATTCAGAAGGTTCAACATTGATTTAGCTGTTTATTCAGAAGGTTCAACATTGATTTAGCTGTTTATTCAGAAGGTTCAACATTGATTTAGCGCGCAAAACGTGAAACGGTTGGTAGGAGGGTTAGGGTTATATCGCGGAGTAGGGCCTGGGAAGAGAGCGCATACACGCGTACGATTGCATTTGTCCCCACGTACATTAATAATTAAAGTTAATTAATTTCGGGACGTACAGTTTGGTGTCGAAACAATTTCTGCCGACGAGTGGACCCTTGCAGCCCCAACAGTGCAGTGGACCATCAACAGTTTGTAGCAGGTTTAGGATTCTGGCCTGAGAAGAGACGAGCATTCGCGCAGGCGTACGATTGCATTCGCTCCACGTACATTATTAATTAAAGTAAATTATGCATGAATCTGTTTCGGGACGCACAGTTTCGTCTCGAAACATTTTCCGCCTACGAGCGCCCCCGCGCGGGCGTACGATAGCATTTTCCCCACGTTCATTATATACCCCGTAAAGACTGCAAATTTGATCCCACATCAGAACTAGTTCGGGGCTGACGCGCGCAAAATTTTTGCAGTGCGTACACGCCATCCAGCGCTAAACACGGGCTATAATCCGGACTAAAACGTACATTATTAATTAAAGTAAATCATGCATGATTCTGTTTCGGGACGCACAGTTTCGTCTCGAAACATTTTCTGCCTACGAGTGGTGGACTATCAGCAGTGCTGCCCTAGCGGCGGTCGAGGAAGCCTACCTTCTGCTGTACATGTGGGTAGCGCATCATGTAGAGCAAGCCCCACGTTAACGTGTTGGACGTCGTCTCTGTGCCGGCACCGAACAGATCAGCGACAAGTGTCGTCAGCTGCTTCTCTGGAAAAGAATATCAAGCTTAGTAGTACTGGCGCTGTAAAGCTCGGTGGCTGAGCGCCCTGTCGTGCTGCGCATTTCTTTGGTGGTGGCCAAGAGTCTATAATTTGTTGATGTTTTCAGTTTTTTAAACTAAAATTCTAAAAAATAAAACCAGAATGTTATTATATGCTCTTTGGCGATGTAAATACTTTTGCGAGATGTCGTAGTCGTTCCTTCTATCGTGGTAGATGTATTTTTATAACTCTAGAGAAAATATCTCGCAGATTCGAACTGTGTGAAGCAGTGACTTGGAGAGTCTTTACACAGGCACGCTGGTTTACTACTCATGTAGGTTCGACGAGTTAGTCACTTGAAGTCACTGAGCTATAAATTTAGCGATGGTTTGACAGCTTTACGAGCTCCGCACATTCGCGTTAGTCACAATTGGATACACAAAAATTCATAGCTGGTAAACAAAAGATTTGACCAACGTGAGATCAACAGCAAACTTAATTCTAGCACGATTTTCTACGTATCATTCGGCTTGAATAATTGACTGCAGCCTCACTACCCAATCTACTAACCAAGCCTACTGCACCAGTGTGTGTGATGTGTGCGAAGGCGCGATATGCTGCAAATTACCGGACATGCATGAACGGCTTTTCCCTTCAGAGTTCTCCATCGCCTGCATCTTTATGAGATAGCAGTCGATAAAGTCACGTGGGTGGTTGGCGTCGATCGTCTGCTTGTGTTCTTCGATCTCCTTCTCGAGCCAAACGGTGCGGAGCCAGTCCCAGTTGTTCTTGAATTTCGTGAGAGGGCTGCCAGGAAGAGCGCCCAGAAACGGCAGAAAACTAACGGCCGCTCCATTCGATAGATATTCAACCTGCATATATATATATATGC